AAATTAATGAATGTGACAGATGTGTCTATATAAAAAGCACATCAAATGAATAGATTATCATATGTCTAAATGTTGATGATATGCTAATAATGGATAATAACTCGAAAGTTAACATAACAACCAAGAAAATATTGACAAAATATTTTGATAGACTCTTGATGGATTGTCATTGTCTCAATCTCGTTTTGTTGAGTATAATGCCCCAAGAATTTTGTAGAATAAAATTTCTTTGTTCTATATGCTAAATATTTATATTTTGAAAGTTGAGGGATTAAAGTGAAATAACTTAATTTTAATAATATCTTGGCCAAATAATTAGATTTTGATAGAGCGAGTTTTAGTACATCAATATTGGACCATTTTCATAGCTCGTAATTAATTAGAAGACTTTAACATGAGAAAAGTTATTTTGAATTAGATTACATTAAGTCTGATTAAAAGAATAATAGGTTAATAGAGTTGGTGGGAGCTTGCAATATTAATTAAGTAAAATTCTTTTCCTCTTTTAGTTCCTACCACACGTGACTTTTATTTGCTATGAAACCAATAGTACAGTACAATTCAAATATCACTTTTTGAAACCAAGTCCAAGTTGGCCACGTGTCCTAATTTCAATAGGACGATTCTACCAGGGAACTAGTAGTAGAGTATAATACTAACTCTACCATTTGAAACCAATTCTTATCCATTTTTTTTGTATTCCACAGTTTTTCAATTCTAATTGCATTCAAACTCAAATAAGAATTTCAACTATAAATATTACTAGAATCTCCATTATTTCACCACAAAAAATAAAGAGAGAGAGACGAAAAAGTACAGAAAAATAATGAGAGAATTTTTACGCACAAGATTTTATCTTCTTTTCAAACTTTTCAATAAACGAGGTAAGATACTTTTGTTCAAATGGTTTGTTTTCTTATTTATGTACTCAATTAAATATGTATGAATTGTCAGTGAATCTTCCAGTTCTTTATAAAGAGATATGAAATTCTTCAGGAATTTAAGAGGACCTAAGATGGGTGCACATTTGGTCATTGATATACTCCATAACAAAATAGAGGTATGAAGTATTTATTAATTGTTATATAATTGTGTATAGAAACTACACGTATCTTACTGGATATTATTAAATACTCACTCTATAATAATCACAGATTAGTGCAGATCGATTGGATCTGTTGTAGGACAATGATGTGGGCTGCCAAGAGGATCGAAGAAAGAGAAAAAAAATACACATTGAGTTTATTCCTGTCTTTAAATTTATTTGTGGGTTTAAAGTTCAAAGTCATATTATTTAATTGGTTAGTTGAACATGTTTTTTAAGATACAATTTCCACGTAGTAATTTAAATCTACGAATATTCTAGTTATTTTTTGTAAAGAAATTTATTTTTATTGTTCCACATATAATACAAAGAAAAGTAAGTTTTTGGTAATACTTCAAGATTTATGAAAATAAGGGGTGTTACATTGAAACTATTCTTAACAAATTTAAGGTGTATGCGGATAATCCAATTAAAACACAAGTAGATCTAAGTCTACACTTAGCTAAAAATACTAGTGAACTCGTATCACAAGTGAAATATTCTTGTGTTATAGGCAGCTTCATGTATGTTACAAATTGCATGCGCCCAGATGTAGCATATGCAGTCAAAATATTAAATAGATTTGCAAGTAATCCGTAAATGACCATTGAAAGGCATTAACGATGGTTTTTAAATATTTAAGACACACGGTTAATTATGGATTACACTATTCTAGATATCTCATGTGTTAGAAGGATATACTAATGCAAATTGGATATTTAATACAAAGGATTCGAAGTCTACAAGTGGTTATGTGTTTTACCATTAGAGGCAAAGCTATATCCTGAAAATCCTCTAAGCAACTTGTATATCTCGATCCACAATGGATTATGAGTTTATAGCTTTAGATATAGCTGAAGAAGAAGTAGAATGACTTCATAATTTTCTTGAGGATATTTCATGCCGAGAGATGCCAATACCTATTATTAATATATATTGTGATAGTTAGTCAACTATTGGAAGGCAAAAAATAGTATGTATAATGGTAAATCTCAACATATTCATTGCAAACACAATACTATTAAATAACTAATTTTGAATGGTATACTCTTTATTGACCATGCCAAAACGAAGAAAAACATAGCGGACTATGTTGAAAGCATTACTAAGAAATCAAGTATACATCTTTCATGGGAAAATGGGCTTGAAGCCTATTGACTAGAATCATCCTTAGTTGTAACCCAACCTTGTTAATCGGAGATCTCAAGATTTTACGTTCAATGAAATAACTAAGTTATGAATGATTCAAATGAGCACTTGTATGCATTTTTTAGATAATAAAAGTGCTATGATGCAAAATGTATCAAGATAAGTAATACTATTAATGATTCCTATAGCTTGGAAGAGCCAAGAAAACTATGGTATGTAAATATGAAGTGAGGTTGTTTCTATAAAAGTTTTGAGGCTTAAATTCTTTAAAAGCAATTATGAAACCAAGAGTTGTTCAGGGTCAAAATGAACACAACCATGAGAACCGAATTTGTTAGAGAAATTATGGCGTTAGTACAATCGTTTTGATTCATACTAATGGCTAAACAGTTCAAAACATCATGCTCATTAATTATACATATTGGTAATTTTCATTCATATGGGAGGTTGTTGAAAATTAGTTAATAATTAGAAGGATCCCATTATTTGAATTTGGCGAGAAATGGATAGAACAAGTTCTACTCCTCGAGTAGATGAGTTTTGTATATTTGGAAGTTAAAACTATTTTTGGATGAATGAAAAATTACCAAATGAAGTAGGGTTGATAAACATGGGTTTTGAAATTATTATATAAAAATTTAAAAACATAAAAGGCTGCTCAAGCGGTTGCCTTGTAGCCAAAGAATGATTAAGATCTTGAAATAACAAGTCCAGGGTGAGGCTAGCGATTAGCAAGCGGTCGATGAACATGTGCAACTTTCGTGAACCAATTGATTTTTAGGTTGTGTGTTTCCAGTTGCAACTATTTAACCTCGATAAATTGGACCCTTCTATGATGGTTTCATTCACTTGAATTACATGCAATCATTGCATACATTAACATATCTATAGAAAAAAAATTTGCATCAAATTTGTTCTTCATTTTTATACAAAAGGAATATTTAATATTATTCGATTCGCCGTTTCTTGTGATTCAAGGTGCCGCCATCACGAGAATTGAACATTGTATCTTGGAAGATAATTGTCAATCCATCGTCGGCACCTGTGCAAGACAAATTCGTCTTAAGGATAAAGAGTTTAACTCTTACATCGATCTTTTGCATTCCATTCTTTTGATTTTAGTATTCTTTCAAGTTTTGTTTCAATTCCCAATAATGTTTGTATTATTCTTATTATTTAAAGTAATAAAAAAAATCATTTCATCATTAATTTTATAACAATTGTATCACTATCATTTCCACACGAGACCTTTTGAACCCTGTTTGCATAACATTTATTTTGTCAAGATATATTGGATACATCCAAATTTTTTCTTTTTGCATGTTGATGTTGTATTTTGTTTTTAAAACATTCCTTATCGTCACCTGAAAAATAAAAATCATTCAAAACAAGCTAAGAAGTAGCTATTTCATCTCATAATTATGTTTTCTAATTTTTAATCTTTTTTGGATCTTCATTTGAATCATTTTAATCCTTTTACTGTTGATCCTTTATTCTCATCGTACTCCAAGTGATTTTAAATGCATTTCGCTTATCGAGAAATTCTCCCACCCCCCTTTTTTTATCATTCTCCGAAAATTCTCCCCCCCCCCTCCCCCCTCCTTTTAAAACTCATTTTTGACCATATCACAATAGAATATTTTGAATGTAAACTATTTTTTTTAATCATACATCTATAATATATTAAAATATCACATCAATGAAGAATCATTTTTTGGACGATTTTAATCTTCTTACAATTCTATTATTTCAATAATGTCTACTGTTCATTTTTCGATATATATAAATACTACATAATTATTATCATTTATAAAATTTGTGATATTAATTACATTCATATTAATCTAGATTCAATGAATTTTCACTTGATAAATATCAAATTACATAAATCTAAAGTTATTATAGATGAATTTATTTATATTCATGTATATAGAAATTTTAATGGATTTTTAAATTTATGTATTAATAATTAATTTTTATGTATCAAATGTAATATAAAAGAATTACTCATTTATATTATTTCATAATTACAAAAATTTGAACCATAGAAATTGAGTTTTGAGAGTACAATTTTTTCTCTTAAATTTCTATGCTAATTTTATTTTCTTTAATTCGTCCTACACTCATCAAATTTGCCAACAAATTGGTTCCAAATATTACTATTACATCACTTATAAAGTATTTTAGAATAACGTGCAATGCATGTTCAACTTTGTCTAGTTCTTCAAAACATCACTATTTGAAAATTCATTTTCCCATAACATTTTTTAGTGAGTATCAAACACAGGCATAGTCCCTATTTGAGCTCCATTATAGTTAATTTTTAAGAAAATTGTATTTTGTAATAGTGATTTTTGATGAAAGTGTGGTTAAAAAAGAAGAATTTTTTTGGAATTTATGTATAATATTATTTGTTGAAGATTAATTAAAAAGATGAAAGAGAAAAATATATTTTGAAATTAATGGAACCAAACAAGGATTAGGTATCACCAAATGTCCTTAAAAATTTAAGCTCTTATTTGAGCCACATTATTTTCTTTATAATGCATTTTGAATGATGTATTGATGAAAAATGTGTGATTAAAAAATAAAGAAAAATTTTAAATTTACGTGTAATATTATTTTATTGAAAAATGTGTTATTGAAATTATGTCAAATCACTATTTAAAAATGTATTTTGTTTTGAAAAAATTGGCTCAAGCATGGCATAAATTGGGCGTTTTGAAATATTATCAATTATTTAAAAATAAATCCCATTGGGTAGGCGCGTGGCTACCAAATTGCCCGGCTTTCCATGCCCTGCACTTGCATTGTTCTCCTCCCCCACAGAAATGAATCTGCTCTGATCTCATGTATTAATTCACCCCACAAAAGAAATAAAGCACGAAAATGATTATATTATTTTCAAATAAAGCCTGTACTTTGTTCATCAAACAACACCGTATAATCAATAAAACAAGGCATCTTTGTGTTTCCGTCAAATCTGACCAAATTTCTGAAGAAAATGAAGCGACAATTGCAGAAATCACTAAGATTCTGAAGCATCACAACTGGAAATATTTGTTGGAATCCTCACATATTCCACAAAGAATCAACAATGTTGTGATGCATTCAGTGCTGCAAAGAACTGATTTTTCTATTCACCCAAAGCGCCTCCTTGACTTCTTCAACTGGTCGAATAGTCATCTGGGTACCTTTCAAGATCTTCAATCTTTCTCAATTCTTGCATTAGTTTTATGCAGTTCTAAAATTCATTCACCTGCCATTGATTTGTTGAGCAAATTAGTGGATGCCCAGGTTTCGGTTTTTGATATTCATAGCTCAATTTTGAATGTTTATAAGGAATGTGAGAGGTTTAAATCAAGTTCTGTCGTGTTTGAGTTGTTAGATATATGCAGGAAAAGGGCAATGTGGAGTGAGGCTGCTTCTGTGTTTTTAGGTGTTAAAAATGCTGATCTTGCAATCAGTTTGTTGTGTTGTAATTCTTTGTTGAAGGATTTGTTAAGATGTAGTAGAATGGAGTTATTCTGGAAAGTTTACAGCGGAATGATGGAGAAAAAAATGGATTTTGATAAATATACTTTTACTAGTGTGATCAGTGCTTATTTCAAGGTTGGCAATGTCAGTGAGGCTAAAAGGGTTCTATTTGAGATGGGAGAGAGGGGTTGTAGTCCAAATACGGTTACTTATAATGTCATTATCAGAGGGTTGTGTGGCGGAGGAGCTGTTGATGAAGCTTTGGAGTTGAAGAAGACAATGCTTGAGATGGGATTGGCGCCAGATAGCTACACATATACAATACTTATTAATGGGTTTTGCAAACAAAAGAGGTCCAAGGAGGCGAAATTGATTTTGGAAGAAATGTATAAAATTGGTCAAAATCCCAACCATGTTGCCTATACTGCATTGATTGATGGGTTCATGAAAGAGGGGAATGTAGATGAGGCTTTCCGAATCAAGGATACAATGACTGCATATGGAATTAAGTTGAATGTTGTGACCTTTAACACTATCATAAAAGGGCTATGCAAATTTGGTCAGATGGAGAAGGCAGTAGATCTCATGGACGAGATGCTCAAAATGGGAATGCTTCCTGAAACCAAGACATTCAATTATTTGATTGAGGGGTATAGTAGAGAGAGTAATATGGATAAAGTTAGTGAACTCTTGGTTGAGATGAAAGGAAGAAACTTGGCACCTTCTGCATACACCTTTAGTGCTATAATCAATGAGTTAAGCCGCTCAGGATATCACCAACTGGCTAATCTCTTTTTGGAGAAAATGTTCTCAGAAGGTATCAAACCTAATGCTATTATTTATGCTACCATCATAAAAGGTTATGTGCAGGATGGTAAATATGATGAGGCAATAAAAATTTTGGAGGATATGTGGCAGAAAGACATCTGGCCTGATGTTTTCTGCTATAATTCTATAATAATTGGCCTTTGCAAATCTGAAAGGATGGAGGAAGCTAGAAATTGTCTTATTGAAATGGGAAAGAGGGGATTAGCTCCAAATGCCTACACCTTTGGGGCATTGATTTCTGGATATAGTGAGGCAGGGGAAATGCATCTTGCGGAAAGATATTTCATGGAGATGCTGGATCAAGGAATAAATCCAAATCTTTACATTTATACATCCGTGATTGATGCTCACTGCAAACATGGGCACATAACGCAGGCCTTTTCTATGTTCAGATGCATGCTTGAGCGAAGGCTTCTTCCAGATGTGCAGCTTTATAGTACACTTATAAATGGCCTCTCAAAGAATGGAAAATTTTTAGAAGCAATGAAAGTTTTCTCTGATTTGTGTGATAAGGGGTTAGTACCCGATGTTTATGCTTATACTTCGCTAATTTCTGGTTTCTGTAAGCAATGTAATATGCTAGAGGCTTTCAGGCTTCATGATGAAATGTGCCAGAAGGGTATCAATCCTAACATCGTCACTTATAATGCCTTAATAAGTGGACTATTGAGATCTGGTGAGATGGAGAGAGCTAAAGAACTGTTTTCTGGACTATCTGAGAAAGGTTTGATACTTAATGAGGTGACATATGCTACAATGATAGACGGATGCTGCAAGTCAGGGAATCTTGACGAAGCGTTCATTTTATTGGAGGAAATGACATCACAGGGGGTTCCACCAGATTGTTTTGTGTACAATGCTCTCGTCAATGGGTGTTGCAAGCTAGGAAACATGGAGAAGGCATTGTCCATATTTCACGGGATGGTAAAAGGGGGCACTGCATCTGTTCTTACTTTCAATACTTTAATTGATGGGTTTTGCAAGTCGGGAAGATTGACTGAAGCAGTTGAGTTGGTGAAAGACATGATTGATAAACGAATCATGCCTAATCATGTAACCTTCACAATTCTAATTGATAAGCATTGCAAGATGGGCATGATGAAAGCAGCTGAAGATCTTCTTCAGGAGATGCAAATGAGGAATCTCACGCCAACAAATGTGACTTACTCATCCCTTTTACATGGTTATGACAAAATGGAGGACAGGTCCAAGATGTTTGCCCTATTTGATGATTTAGTGGCAAAGGCTATTGAACTCGATGAAGTAGTGTACACATTGATAATTGATGCACTCTTTAAAGAAGGAAATTTGGAGAAAGCCTTTAAGGTTTGGGATGAACTTTTGGAAAAGGGTATATTAAAAAGAAACGTAAATGAAATACTGATAGGGACCTGGTGTGGAAATGCCGAAATTTCAGAGATATGCACATTATTTGATAAAGTGAGAAAGCAAGGATATAAACCAAGCCTTGTTACATGCAGTACCTTAGTTTGTGGTTTGAAACAATTGGGATATGTAGAAAAACTAGAAAATATTATAGATATTATGGTGAAGTTTGGCTGGGTACCAAAGTCAATGAGTTTAGATGAGTTGATAAGTCAATATCATAGGGGAGATTCTGAGGGTAGTGACCTCTTTGGGCAAGCAGCGGCAGAAGTTGCTCATTAGGTGTAAGCCTTACTCGAAAGGATAATGGAAATGGCAGCTTCTTTGTGATGCTTCCTTTAGTGGCTTTTTGAACCAATTGTCAAACCAAGGTGGATCGGCTTCTCGTTTCAGGATCTCTTTCCCACACTGTGAAAAGCTCCATCATAGGTACGGCTTTTGACCAAAATTGTCTCTATTCTATGAGGAAAATTTTGCTTACATGATCTTTTCCATTTTCTAGTTTTTTTTCCTCATTCTTTTTTCTTCCCCTTCTTTCCCTGGGTCGGATTGTGGGTTGCTCAATTTTGGCAAGGTTATAATTGTAGTTTTCTTTCTTGCTCTGGATCTCCTTGGTATAGTATGTTGATTTGGTTGACAATAACTCTACTAATCTTACTTTCTTGGGAATACTTGAAAGTAGATTCTTAAAGAAATTTACAGTGCAGTGTCTAAGTAGTTAGTAAAACCCACATTTATGTTCTCCCATGATATTTCTATTGCGATTCTATCGTCTTATATTCTTGCTTTTTGACTGCAGTATTCTATTAATTCCTAGATTTTTGACATTGTGATTTTCAAATTGTATTTCTACTTTGGGAGGTTCCTCTCATTATATAGATACCGTTGAGCTAATTACAAGGTGGATTTTTTTGCAATTACAGCAATCAAGGAGAGACTAAAAGGAAAGTATTTATGTCTTCCTAATTACAAGATATTAATGGCTACAAAATCATGCCACTATTTATGGCTAAGAATAATATAAAACCACGCCATAAATAGAGAGGCTATTATGGCTAAGAATTTGCCAGACATCCCCTCAAATTAATGTTGGTGGATCAAGAAGCATTAATTTGCCTCTAGGAAACTGATGGCGTTATTGTTTCATGGCCTTCATAAAGATGTCTGCTATTTGAAGATCAATAAAAGCATGAAGAGAAATGACTAAAGTGTCCAGGGCTTTTCGAATAAAATGACAATTTACCTTAATATGCTTCATACACTCATGATAAACAGGATTAGTAGCTATAAGAATGGTACTAGTGTTGACAGTATGAAGGGGTGTAGGATTAGATTTTAAAAAAATCAAGCTCAACCAAAAGCCTACGATGTTAGATATCTCAAAACAAGCAGTCAACATCGCATGATATTTGAATTTGGTAGAAAATTTAGGGACACATGCTTGTTTCTTACTCTTTAAAGAGATCAAAGAATAGATCGGTCCAATCAGCATCATTATAAGCAACAAGACGAAGATGATAGCTAGTTGGGAAGAACAATCCATGCTCAGATGACCTGCAAAGATAGCGAATGATATGACAAATGGTAGCTAAATGGAGATGACATGAAGCATGTGTAAACTTACTAAACTGTTGGATAGCGAAGGAAATATACGACCTAGTGATAGTCAAATAGTTCAAGCTGCCCATTAGTTGTCAAAACACGGTAGGATCGAAAAGATCACCCTCTTTACTATGATATTTCACATTGACTTCCAGCGGAGTATCCACCAAAGAAGAATCCTAAAGACCAGCCAGGTTAACAAAATCCTAGGCATATTTGTGTTTATTCAAAATATTCTTGAAGGATCGATGCGCACCTCCAACCCGAAAAATTGTGTAAGAAGACCAAGCTCTTTCATATGAAAAGAAGCCTGAAGATGATCTGACGTTGAGTGATCAAGGTAGATACAAGTAAAAGAACAAGACTAGTTGGAGTCTTGCAGAGAAACAAAGAAGAGGCATATTGACTTTGGAACAAAGGAGAATTAAAATAGACTAGAACTAAACTTTTCAAACTATGCCCAGGGAGCCTGATTTAAGCCATAAAGAGATCGTTTCAATTTACACAGCGGAAGGTTGAGAGGAAAACAATCTTGGGGATGAGTCATATAAATATTCTCTTTGAGATTACCATGAAGAAAAGCATATTTATCATCCATCAGGGGAAGTTATTAGCTTTGGGATGCAGCAATAGAAATAACAGTTCGTACCATAGTCATCTTGGCCACTAGAGCAAATGTCTCCTCATAATCTACCCCATATTTTTGCATGTTCCTAAGGGCAACTAATTGTGCCTTATATACCGATCTTGAGTCCCATCAGATCGAAGCTTGATCGAGTAAACCCATTTACATTTAATTGCCTTAACATTAGAGGGGCAATAAACCCCATCCCATGTATGATTTTCTTGAAAAGCCTGAAGTTTCCTTGTCTATTGTTTTACCCAACATTAGTGCTTAATCGCCTCATAATAGCATATAGGAATATGAGTAGTAGATAAAGTAGCATTAAGAAAAGTGTGGGAAAACCGTATCGATCATGAGGACGTGAGGCTCAGGCAGATCGTCGAGTCCCAAACTCATAGGGTATGTCAGACTCGGAGTTGATTGGATTTGAGTTCAATCCTAGAAATTGTCGGAACAATGTCAGATGAAGTTAGTCGCAAGAATGGGTAAAGTCGGTGGACGATGAGTATACACAATTCCAGGTTTAAATAGTTTAGTGAGAGTGGTAACTCATCAAAATTCGGTAGGATACTAACGTTAGGCAATAATTCAACACGAGTAGGAAAGAAACATTGATTATCAAAGAAAGCGACATCACAAGAGATACGAAATTTATTAGAACAAACATAACCTTTGTGGGAAAAACAGAACACATAAATCACATTTCATAGATTGAGCATAAAATTTGTGACATTCAGGAGGAGGTAAGCGAATGAAACAAACACATCCTAAAGTATGTAGATTGAGATAGCTAGGACGTTGTTGATACAAGTGATAATATGGAGAATCAAAATTCAAGACTTGATGGTAGTCTATTAATTAAGTAAATTGCAATCGACAAGGCCTCGACCCAAAATTTAGAAGGAATAGAGGATTCGAGAAGAAGGTGCAAATAACGTCAAATAATCGACAATTCTTTTGTTCTGCCACATCATTTTATTTTAGAGTGTAAGGATATTAGCGTTGAGAGAATTCCTTTGTAGCTTAAGAAATTATGAAACTCATTAGACATGTATTCACCACTTGAATTAGACCCCAAAATTTTAATACCTGTAGAAAGTTTGGTCTTTACATATTCTACAAAAGTCTAAAAAATAGACAAGACCTCTGAATTAGGCCAAAGAAAATAGACCCAAGTATACCAATTGAAACCATCGATAAATATCACAAAATATTTAAATCGAGCTTGAGAAGTTATAGGAGAAATGTCCAATACCATCACTGCGCATAATATCAAAGCCTTTTGTAGCACGACTACTATGAGAAGGAAACGAGTAAGTCTTACTCCTATAAAGTTTGCATACAGAACAGTCAAATGATTGAATTTAGAAACTTGTTTTTTATTGCCTAACAAACCATAATTAAACATATGAGATGGAACAACAAAGTTTGAATGACCCAAATGTTTGTGCCATATTTACTTAAGAGTGTTAATTGTCTTACAAGTCAAAGACAAACAACTAGGAATTGAAAAATGCGAAGGAAATAGTCTGCCAACTTTAGGCCCCTTCGCAAGAATCTTCCAGACACTTGATCCTGCATAAGATAACCATCACGAGAGAAATGAACATCACAATTACTATCAACCAATTGGCTAACTAAAATAAGACTAGTAGAAAGTCCGCGTGTCTCTGAAAGTAGAATTAATAACCAAACTTCATTAATGTATGAACGACTCCCATTAGCTATATTTGAATATAAGATTAACTATGATGTGGACGAACATTACCTAGATCATTAGATGGACAGATAATTGGAAGCGCCAGAATTAACGAGCTAAGATTTATATTACCTTGGAGCCTTAAAGCAGAAAAGGCTGATAATATGATTTGCTGTACCATTTCAGGTGTAAGAACAGATTGCCAGTCGTTGAAAAAGCTGAGATGTTCACTGTAGCATGATAAGCATTAGCTAGATGATTTTGAGGTCAAGTGGGATAGTCTTGATAAAATGGCCTTGTTTCTTGCTGTAGTTGCAAGATTTCTTTGCACTAGTTAGCAGCAATATGTCCAATGTCCATATTCCTTGAAACTGAAACACTGGACTTTGTGCATATCCTTACCCTTCCCTTTCCCATAGTCTGCATGGACGACTGGACCATGATTGGAAATTCTAGAATTTCGCTAAAACGTAGCTTGTGTAAGAAGATTTTGCTCCCCGTGAAGTAATTCACTAAAACATACATCCAAGGTGGAGAGGATCTCCATTCATCAAATTTGTGCAAGTAACCCAAATTAAGGGCGCAATTTAATCAAGAATTGATCTCTCTTGCCCTGCTCATGAACAGCATGAACAACAGAGAGAGAGAGAGATGCTGTAGCCTGTAGGTACCTTCGCATACACATATCAGAAAATTCGCCACATAAAACTGGAAACTGGAAAAATACTCCTAAATGGAAAGATTATCTTGAGTGTAACAGGCAATCTCATACTCCAACTGAAAACGACGTGAAATATTATCTTAGTGATTAACCTTTAGCAAATACTCCTATATGACCTTCGCGGTCTTATAGGGCCTCAAATTGAGCACAATATGAGGATTTATAAACCCTATAATTTATGACATCAATGAGCATCCTTGATCTTCCATTGAGCCAGTTCCTTAGACTACATCGGAATTGGATCATTACCATCAATACTGTCCCAGACTCCTTCCCCATAACTAACAATTGAAATTGGAATTCCCAAACAGAATAATTTTTTCCCATAAAACAGGCCCCGAAAGACTCACTAGAAGACGTGATGAAATAAATACAATAGAAATCCCAAACTGTAGCACACAGCAAGCCTTAGAAGCCAATAGAAGCACTCCAAACCTGATCTGGCAAGCGGAATCTCCACAGAACTCGCCAACATCTTGCAGATTTTGCAGACAGCCACCAATACCTTCAACAGAAACTGCAGAATAGCAATTTAGAACTCTTGACAGCCACCAGAATTTAATGACTCGCCAGCTTGCAGTTTTGCAGTACCTTCAACAAAAAACTGCAGAACAATAGTTTAAAACAGTTGACAGCCAAAAAAAGCTGCAGAACAGCAGTTAAAACAGACTCAACAAGAACACTCCAAATATGAATGATTTGGTCTCTGAGACCATGTCAATTGCACTGAATGCCTCACAGTGGGAGGGTTCCTCTCATTGTATAGAAACTGTCAGGCTAATTACAAGGCTGATTTTTTCATTTATTTATTTATTATTATTATTATTTTTTTTTTTTGTAATTACAAAAATCAAGGAGAGGCTATTATGGCCAAGAGTCTGCCTGACATATTTCATCCTTTATTAGTTATTCGATTTCATAATTCCGTTTCTTTCTATTTAGTCAAAGAGCTCAACTTCATGTTTCCTTGTACAAAAACACGAGTAGCTCATGGTTTGTGATCTTTGAGGAGTCACAACATGCTATTTTATACTTGCACTAACTTCTCATCTAATCCAATTGCAACCTGGTGAAATGGTCTGTGTTTTTTAATTGCAGCTGAATCTAGATCAAATCTTCGATTTGGTAGCTCATGATTTTTTATCTTTGAAGAATCACAACATGGTATGTTATACTTGCACTTACTTCTCATCTAATCCAATTGCTATCTGGTGAAATGGTCTTTCTGTGTTTTTTAGTCACTGCTGAAGCTAGATCAAATCAAATATTATGTAATTTTTAACTGTTATGAGCAAATCTCACCACCACAATAAGCGTCAGCTCTCCAAGAAGAACCAGAAAAGAGGTAACTCTCAGGGGGATTTCTTTCTTGTTGAAAATGTCATGTTGCTTTACATCGTATTCAGAGCAGGCCTGTCACAAGTGTCTGATCGCTTTTTTTTTTTTTTTTGGTTTAAAGTTGGCAAATGGCTCTCTCTTTTTATATTGAGGTTATGTGATTAGATCATGCTGGTGCATTCTTTTAACAAAAAAATAAAAATAAAAAATAAAAAATGATACATAACCCCCTTGTGTATTTACATTTCTGTATTTTTCCTTTTCAAGTGGATTAGCAAACTATAAATTTGTGTTGTAGATGTCGTTTTTCCATTTTCTTGTTCCTAGAATGACCTTCAAAGAATATAATTTAGTATATCGATATTTGGATCAAGACATACCAAACATGCCAATTAGAAATCCCTTACACAGCCAGATTGTCATAACATTTATAAGACACTTCTTTTCTGCAAAATCTTATTTCCTTTAGTAACTGAATAGTTTTTGTACAACCCTATAACTGCTAATTCTACACTCTGTGAAGACATTGCTCAAGAAGGAAAAAATGGATAATTACAAAAGAGAGGACATATACACAGCATCAAGGCGCATTCATTTGTCAAAACCTCCTAAAATATTATCGGCCTTACACTATAATATTTCCGGTACGGGATTTATTTGGTGTAACTTTGAACGATTTTTGTATTACAATGCTATCTATTTGCTGTTTTTGAAAGAGCGATGAACTCAACATCATCTACTTCAATAATCTGAAAGGGAGTTTTGTCAACTGCTTGTGGATTGGCTCCCTGCAACAAGTATGAGATCGAGAGTAAATAAGAGGACTAATTTTAGGAAGATTTTAGTTGCATGCCAACTATATTGTCAAGTAATATGATTTGCAATAAGAAGTTTTATGACACAAAGAGGAACTCAGATTAGGACAGCAAATTCCTTTAGTAATTTTATTTCCAAAGGAAATGCACTAACAAGAATAAGAAAGCCTCGTGAGGAAAGAATGAAAAACCAGCATCACCATTACACAGCTTTATACGTAATTTTAAATACCAAGAGAACTTTCTGAACTTCCTAATGATTATATCAGATATGGAACAGCCAATTTATGTGATTAGTTAGCAAATGCAGGTTTGGATAGCAGTTAAGGTAATCTGAATAAAAGAAGGTTAAGGTTAGATTTGTTACATTCAAGATGTGGACAATGAAGTAGGTAATCATTTTCTAATCTGTTTGGTTTCAATGAAGAGTGATTCACCGTGCATGGCCTTTTCAATTTTGATATGATGAAAAAAAATACATGGACCTCTTTTTGGAACTAAAATTGCCTTTAATGTGATTTCTCATGCCTCTGAATTTTCAAACTTAAGAGCATCTGCAATGTTTCTGTTGCTAACTAGTTTCCGTTGCATTTATGTATTTCTTGGAAGTAAGGTTCTCAGCTTTTGACAACCTAGGTAGCTTGTAGATCTCAAATAATGAATACTTCTTGTCACCCAATCCTTGTGCTGTTTAACTGCTTTGGCTTAGCTTGAGTCAGGGAAGATTTTGGATTTCTGGAAGTTTATGATAACTTAGCAGTCAACTTTGGTTAACAAACTGTAAGTTATGCTAGTTAAATTTGGGGCTGATTAAATCTTGAAGATTTAAGTGGCGTAAGCTGTATGCTATCTTAGCGGAAGCAGAAGAGGAGAATACTTAGTTATTTCTCAGTGAGATGTCGCATATTCCTAACAGAGCTTACTATTGGCGTATTTTATGTGATTCAGATGCCAATTGAATTCTCAGATAGTGCGTAGTTCATACGATAATTCTACACCGCAGGAACATGATATCATGTGAGATGAAGGTGTTTAAAGCATTGAAGGTGGAGTGAGAATGGTGGAAGACGTTATGCACTTGTTTGAGCCCCATTCTTGCCCAAAAATGTATTTTTGAATAGTGTCTTGATGGGAAATGTGTAGTTAAAAAATAAAGAAAATTTTGGATTTGCGTGTAATATTATTTTAATGAAGAATGTGTGGTTGAAATCAAATCAAATCACTATTGAAGAATGTATTTTGATGAAAATAATGAGGGCCCAAACAAGGCTTAGGGCTATATCTCAGTTTCATGTGTCATTCATTGTTGGGTCATTTCTCGTACAGGATGTGTCATTGGCAGATGAGAATGATGAGAAGACTCTGAAGTTGGATTAACTGAGTGCGTAGAAACTAAAATGATTTGATTTAGGAGGGTTTACTTAGCTTTGGTGTTAATGAAAATCACTTTATATTCTAATTTGTTTAGCAGCTTGTAAATCTTCTAAGGTTTGTGCTATAGTTGCTGAGTTGGCTCTGCTATATTTTTCTGTAAGATCATATATATTTTTATTATTTGATAACTTTTCCCAACAATTTTTTAGTTATATTTTGTCTATCCGAGCCTTTGTTCATCAGTGCCTATGAGTCTGAGTTAATTACAAAAGTGCTTCATCTCTTACTACTATAGCAGCTTTGTTCATGGCCAAGGGAAAGGGCTAGAAGCTTAAAAAGAAATGGCGAAATATAAACCATCCAAATATTTCAAATACAAAAGAAAGATAAGGTTCCTATGGTTGAACCCAAAAGGCCGTGATTCCTTCTCCTGCTCCTGTCACTAACCCTTCACAAGCCAGTACTTCTCTACACTACTGCCTAGGGAGGAAAATAGAGTTGCCTTAAAAAATAAAGAGACAGAGAAGGATACGAAGAAGTACCTTGCTGGTTTCCATGTGTAATCAAAATACTAAATAAGAATGTTACCAATACCATATTTTCAGGCTTCCTGTGGGAAAGAAGGAAGTGGTAGAGTCCATAAAGCCCGGCGGTAAGCTCTTTCTGTTTGATTTTGACTCAAAGCTTCTATATGATGTGTACAAGTTAACCTCTGATGGAACAAAGAACTTGGAACCTGATGCATTTAGAGGAAAATTTTGTGCACAGGTAAATCATTAGGCTGTTTTTTATACATCCTATGCAGTAAGGGACAAATTTTTTAACAACTAATTTAAAAGAAAGGAAAATTAGAAACTTGAAAAGAAAGAAAAGGAATACAAACGACATCTGTTAATGGGATCGAATCTCTATGCTTCACTGACATAATTTTTATGTATGGGGTAACCTTATTGTTGAGATAATGTTCATTGCTTCTGATACCTACCTTTATGAACTTCCTTAACATATTATGCCTGAAAGGAAAAACATTTCTGAATCCCTTGATGACAACTTGATAGGTTTTCATGCTTTACAATTATTTATAATCTGTTTGCATGAAGTCGTGGTTTAATCGGAGGTACTTTGACATTTATTTGCCTATCCAAATTTATTTCACTGCTTCTTGCTTCATCTCGGGCTCCTTGTCAATGATTGTCGAATTACATAAGCTTGTTGGTATAGTTCCTATAAGATTTCATTGGAAAAGAACTGAGGACTGACATTTAAATATACCTAATTCTTTAAGCATTGGACTTGTTATCTTTTGTGTCCAAAGTCAGGAAAATTAATTCCTGGAAGTAAAGATGTTTCATCGCTGTAGCCCTGGGATCATTCAGGGAGATCAACGCAAAACCTTAGCCTGATGTTGAACTTTTTTTTTCACAGGATACAATTTCATGGTTTGACTTTTTCTGTTTTTATGAATCTTGTTATTCAACAGTGCTAGGGGAGCTTTTATGACCACCTTCTACTTTCACTTGTGGATTTTGAGTGACGAGCTATATTTATCTATCCCTGTGCTCTTAGGCTACTGTTTTTTGCCTTTCAGGTAATATTCGAAATTTTCAAGGAGTGTCTTCCCCTGCATGAGAGTGCTCTTAGACATGTTATAAAGGAGAAATATGAGGGCTGCAAGTTCAAGCAAGAACTAAGTGGAAAGCAAGAAAGATTGATGTTTTTATGTGGTAAAATGGAGCATTGGCATCCAGCTGGAGTGCAATATTTCCATTGTCCACCAGTAACAAGGTACCATCCTGTTTTGATGGTGCAAGTTCCACAGAACAGATACCATGGAACAGCAGCATATATGGAACGTGTTCATATAGCAATAGAGCATTGAGGACTGCCTGCTAATAATTTGTTGTATGTGGCCAAATCTCCACCACCACTTGCCTATTCTGTGCAGGAACCCCATCCCAGGGTTATGTTTTCCCGTTCTTTTGGTTTTGCCTTATAAGTGCTGCAGGAGGGGTAAGTGGAAGGTTCTGAGTTTCGAATGAACTCTTTCCAGAAAAAAATAATGTTGGTGGATACTAATTCATTTCAGCCAGATATTATCATTATTGTTTTTTTGAATAATCAAGTGATCCTTTTCAGTAATTGTCATAACTCGTGTTCTCTATTTTCTGGATTGATGTAAATACACTATGAATATTTGATGAGGACTGGTAATGCAAGTGGTTAAAATTATCGAAATATTTTGAAATCGGAACGAATTAATTTCAAAAATTCGTTTTGTCAACAATGAAGTTGTGTGGAAGTGATAGGTGTCGCCTCCTTGAATCAATTTTGAATTTGGTAAACATTCATGCTTACACATTGATTTACTTACATTATATGCCAAAGTTTTTCAACTGTAACTAACCTCTTCCCCCTTTTCCCTTAGTCTCTTTCCCTATATGCTAGATTCTCTGTTTCTATCTCACGCTTTCTTGGGATTGTTGTGTGGCTTAGCATGGCATTTCTTATTTTATGATGATTAGAAGAGGATGATGCATCATCTTTTGTTTTTGCATATTTATTATTAAGTATCCTTGCAGCAGAAGTTCAGTTACAATGCCATCATATTAAAGTTTAGTCTTCCTACAGAGTTTTATATGTACCAAAATTTGTTGGCATATCACGTTCAATAGTTGAGTTCTGAAAGATGCCAATATGGTGCCCTTGCCTGAAGTTTCTTTCTTCGGACAACTAATAGAGAGAGAGAGAGAGAGAGAGAGAGAGAAGATTTAAAAATAATAAAAATAAAATGAAAAATAAAATGAAAAGAGGAGATTTTTCATTAAAGTTGATTAGTCAAGTTGTTCTAGCAGTGATAGTTTGTTGCTGGATTTTGATGATTATTGTGGTATATGCATCTCTAGCCTCATCTCTCCGTCTCTTCAAATCAAGAAACTGAACCATGTTATGCGGCTTAAAAATTACTGCTCTGACGGACATGGGAGAGTGGAAAAGAAGGTTATACATGAACTCCCGGGCTGTAAAACTGACTATTGTGAATTTCCTCTACAGGAATCCTGCGTCAAGATGACCGTTGACCACAAAGTTGTAATCAACAAATGTCTCTCACTAGTCAAGATTTTTTCCTTCTAAACTCACAATACTTGATAATCAACAAGCAAGAGAGAAAATGACTATTTGAGAGGGAGATAATTGAATTTGCATCATCGTCTTCTTAGGTGGGACTATTTATACATCATCCTTCATTGTTTTGAGGGTAATTGGGTCCTTTTAGTTAACGACAGGTGGCGATCATTTAATGGCGAGTTTATAAATAATTTTGTTATTCATGGTTTATTTATTAACTACGCGTCCTGTATACATTGGTCTTGAGTTCATGCTTTAAACATGTGCATATTATTTCTGATCTCTTAGGGAGATACATCTCGCTTTCTTATTTGTAAACTCTTGTTTGCCAGCTCCTAAGTTTATTCTTAACCTCGAGCACCTTGGCTCACGTAAGAAATCACGTTCTTACTTTTTCTTCTTTATATTTTTCTATTTAACAAATAGTCTCCCAAGTTCGAGCCTAATTATTTATATTTAGGCTACAAACTTGCAATCTTGTCATTTTTCTTGTTTGTCTTCGTATATTTTATTATAGTTAACGTAAGGCTAGGTGAAATGTCTTTGATCTTAATTGTAATTAACGCGTGATTAGATGAAACATCTCTTTGACTTCTGCACTTTAATGCATGTGGCACACGCTTTGGACCGTTTGTTTGTATGCCTCTTCATATTTGAGGGTTAGATTTACTTTATTTTTCTATGGATGATATTGAGTTTGTTGAGATTCAATGATCGAGATGTGTCTTTATATATACACTTCTTCATCGCTTCTTTGATATTTTTTTCATTATCGATTTCTTGGAGTGATAAGTTCCTTCTATACCCTTTCTGAGAATGTATTCTCTGCAATTTCATTGTCTATCTCAGTACATATTGTAGAGTGATTATACATATATTGAACTATAAAAAATAATTAGATGAAAATAATAGACTCTGATCATAACGCAACTATAGTGGAGAAAATTTTAATGTTTGCATAATGCGTACAAGTGTTGTTGCATATAAAATAGAATCTTTTAGATATAAATAGGAAATACTTTGTCTTAATAGTAATGATTTAGAAATTAATTGGAATCACTTATCATCATCTCATCTAACATTCAAAAGTTTGGGATGCAGATTCATTAAAAATAACAATACATTGTCTTAATTGTATAATCTAAAAATTAAGCTCACAATTAAAATTTTGAACAAGTAATCTCGTAAACTTCAGGTTGTTATTATTTGGATTCCCTATTGGCTCACAATTTAAAAGATCTTATAAATATTTGAGGAGTCAATAATGAAAATATATTATTTTAGATTCCCTGTAGGTTCATAATTCTATTGAAACATAAGGATTCTAAAACATTATAATATGAAAACTAAAATAATATTTCCTTCAATTTTATCATGTTGAGATGCCAAATATAACCACACTCCTAACAATTCATTCATTCAACTCTTTTTTCAGCATCACATAATATAAATGAAAGCTCAACAATTAAATCCATAAAATTAAGAAAGCCAATAAAGTAATGATTAACATGTTAACACAAGGATAATCCAGTTCTTTACAGCACTAGCTTGAGTTAGTATATATGAAAATTTAACTTTGGATTAATTCAAATGATGCATGCAATGTGTATGAAAATTTGTAACTACAAATATGAGAATGTGAAAGTGACATGCTCTGTCACTTTTTTTTTTTTTTTTTTTTTTTTTTTTTTTTTTTTTTTTTTTTTTTTTTTTTTTTTTTTTTTTTTTTTTTTTTTTTTTTTTTTTAACAAAGTTGGCGGGTCATTTCATTTGATTCTTTTTGGATCAATTAAAGAGATGTACACATTTGTTTGAGAAAATTTTTCTATGAATAAGAATTCTACATAAAAAAAAATTACATGATATAACACTTTATTTGTTTTTTGGATATTAATTAAGGCTTCTGAAATTGAAAATAACATTTTAGGCTATCTCATTTGAATTCTTTTTGGATCAATTAAAATATGCATACATATGTGTTTGTGAAAATTTAACACTTTATTTGTCTTTGCATATGAATTAAAGTGCTAGAATTTGAAAGTAATACGTTCTATCACATATTTTTAAAAAAAAACAGTCACATACTATCTCATTTGAATTTTTTTGGACCAATTAAAAAGATGCATACGTGTGTATTTATGAAAATTTAAATATGAATATGAATTCAAAGTTTGCTTTACATTAAAATGTGACATGATGTAACATTTTATTTATCATTGCATATGAATTAAAGAGTTGAAATTTAATAGTGACATACTTAGTAACTTTCTTAAGAAAAATTTCAAACTATTTAATTTGTATTCTTTTCGCAAATACAGATAAAATTAATGTCTTCATCTGTTATGAAGGTAATTGGAATAACAAATATAAAATTGATAAAATAATTAAAATTATCATCCCAGTAGAATGCAGGTAGAGGTACCTTGAAAGCATGATATTTTTTGTGATGAAATTTACAGTATAAGGTGAAGAAAAACCCGCATTTGATAAAGATTTTGAATGATATTCTCTCATATTTTATTTGGAGCTTAAAAGAAACAATAGATATATTGCAAGGTTTCCATTGTGCGTAAATGTGATGATGGTATAAAAAAGACACGAGTCTGAATATCTTGGTGACAGACAACTTTTACAGGCTGCTATTTTGGAAGAAAATGATATGATGCAATTACAGCTTTGTGAAACTGATGATTCAGTAAGAATAACTGCCTACAATGAAGAATTTGCTATTGATATGTATAAAAGCATTTCAAGATTGAAGAAATCAGTAATGAATGAGGAAGTGATATCATTGCAACCGTTAATGTGAATAAAATTGCACAAGAAAAGTTTTTAGTGTAACATCTCAAAAGTTTTATAAAATAAATAAAATATGTTACATATTTATATTTTTGAAATTGAGAGACCAAAGTAAAATATATTCTAAATTCTTATATTTTTGGATAAAATAATTAGATTTTGATAGGGCAAAGACAAGTATATCAATATTGGACTCTTTCTGTATGTCGTAATTAATTAGAAATCTTCAATTAGAGAAAAAAGTTATTTTGGAGAAGAACACATTAAGTTAGACCCAATTGAAAGAAAACAGGATAAATAGAATTTTGCATAAGTTATAATCCAATTTGATTTCTCTGGAAACATGTAAGATAGATATTAAATTATTAATCATTTTTTTTGGTTTAATATTAATCCTTTGTTATGATTAGGCTAAACTTTGGTGATTCAGTCTAATGTAATTATAAAAAAGGTTTAAGCTTATCATTAATAAATAATAACCCAATTCTCTTCTTTTCCCAACGGTGAACATGCATGTGTTTAACTAGAAAATCATCATTTTGACAAAATCCTAATTCTACTAATTAAACTCAACATTATCCAAAAAGACTCATGGTAAACGGTGTCTCTATTCCCAATTGAACCAAAATTTAATTGTGAGTGATGATTCCAACTATAAATATTACATGTAGTCCCATTATTTCACCATAAAAATATATATACATAAATGGCAGAAAGAAGTTTTTAAAATTAGCAGCCAACCTAGGAAAAAAAAAAAAAAAAAAAGATTTGGACGTGCAATCATATTATTTGGTTTCAAGTA